GCTGATCAGTGACTCTCTCATCATTGATGTTTCTCTCTCTCTCCCTCTCCCTTCCTCTCTCTGAAATCAATAAAGATATTTTTTTTAAATAGTAAATAAAAGTTATATGTAAAATCGCCTAACATATAGTAGGTACACAATCAATATTACTCCCCCCTCCCCTATCTTCATATTCCCAAGTTGAATTAAACATACATATGTGCATACAATTATTTTATATAAGGCATTCTGCAATAGTTCCAATTTATTTTAGGCTGAAAGGTTTATCATTTTCTGAAGATTAGGATTAAAATCAAAAGAACACTGGCATGTTATTTGACAATTCTTTACAAAAAACAGTTTTGATCAATCAGACTAGTTCCCTTGACCATAAAGCAGAAGTTACAGGTGAAAATGCCTCTCATAAAGAGCTTATAGGGAGATATTAGCCAAGTTGTCTGGTCTGAACAACGTTGCCTATTTCCCCACCTTTAAAATGGGACAAGACATTTGCCTTCACCAGATATTGGTCAGTATCAAATAAAACTCAATATGCGTAGAAGGTGAGCTATGGATTCAGATGACCCAATCCTGGCTCTTCTCCCTATGAGTTCTGTTACTCTGAGTTACTTAATCTTTCTGTGCCTTAATTTTCTTATCTGTAAAATGAAAATAGGCTCATGGTGAGGACTGAATAGAGTCAATTGCGTAAAGCACTTAGAACAATGTCTAGGCTATAGTTAAACTTAGTTAACATTCAAACACTTAAGAATGGTACATGCACAAAATAGGTACTCAGTAAATACTGGGGACTGAATGAATGAAAGGTACACAAGAATTTATTCTGAAAAAGGAACAGGCTATCTTTCACATTAGGCACGGAAACCGTGGGCACTGCCCCAAGTGACAGCAGTAGACATTCTCTAGACTCGAATTTATGGCCTGTGGACTTAGGTCAGTAGTTTGATTTAGCTCTGGACATTTAATCACCTCCCAGCTATTTCCCATGTGACTTCCAGATTCATGGTTGTCTCGAGGAGGCAGGCATGACTCATGTATTTCACTTACTTACCATTCAGTTATCTACCCTACAGATGCCAAGTGCTTACAGTTTTGGAAACAGATCACTTTAAGGATGTGAAGATATCGGAAAAATCTAGGGAACAGTAAACCTTTCATTATTCCATTTTCCTTCTGATAATCTGATGGGCCCACTCTCATAATCTAAATATTCTGACTCTCATAGGATCTGTAACTCAACTGCAAAATAGTTAAGTCCCGTTCTGGCCTGAACAAATTCCATGAACTTTGTTTCTATATGGAACAGAACTTTCCATAAAAATGCATGTGCTGTGCCTAGCCTTCACGGGCCTCCAACACACTGTCTTCATTAAGTGTTCCTTTCTCATCTCTTTCTTTTTATTTTCAATCCTCACTCGAGAACATGTTTACTGATTTTTAGAAAGGGGAGGGGGGAGGGGGAAAGAGAGAGAGAGAAACATCAATGTGAGAGAGAAACATGGAGCATATGTGTCCTGACCAGAAATCAAACCCCCGACCTTTAGGTGCAAGGGATGGTGCTCCAACCAACTGAGTCACAGCGGCCAGGGCCTCCTTCCTCACCTGTTAAGGCGTCATACTTCATGACAAAAGTAGGTGGCAATCCATAAAAGGACGTGATTTCAGAGTAAGTGTGAGAGGCAGAATGAGGAAGGACTGAATCCGTGAGGTGAGATCATGGACCCAACGCTTAAAAGCCTGTCACCTTGGACGGGTCGTTTAACCTCAGCTCAGTTTCCCTGCCTTCTCTCTAATGAAGCAACGAGGTCCCGACTGCCTCAGTGGCGGTTCTGAGGACTGAATGGGGCAGCGCACATAAGGCTCAGATCGGGTGTGAGCGTTTGGTAAATATGAGCCTATTATCATGAGTCTGTTTCTTTTCGTTGTTGTCAATTTTTCGCTCTGAATGTTTCCCCCTACATAGCGAGCCCAGAACAATCATGCAATTCCAGGCCTCATTCATTAAAGCCTAAGCTCCTCTAAGCCCGGATCTTACCTGCCCAAAGCAATTGCTAGGTCTTTCTCTGAGACTTGTAATCCACAAACGTCCCCCCATCTGTAACTCTTTTGGCTCCTTCCTGTTTCCCTCTGCCTTCTGCAAGTTGAACTAAGCCCCTCTTGCCAGTGAAACAGTCACGGAAAATGCCAGGCCCACACGCTGCCCCACTGCCCAGGGACAGCAGTTGATAAGCAAACAGAAGGGCCCCCGGGGAAAACAAAGCATTTGAAAATGGCCCTTCAAGATGTTCTCTAGTTCCCACATGTATACATTGTCAAGGGCAAATTCTTTAGAAAAGGAACAGGGCCTTGGGTTTCCTGCAGAGGCTGCATGAATCCAGGGTGGAGGTGGGTGGTGAACGCTTGGAGGAGGGAACGGAAACTGTAAATTGCACTGGATTTTTGTGAGAGGCGTCTCCCGCATGATAGCAGTTACTCACTTTTCCCAAGCCAGCGACTACAAATGGTGAGAGAGAGGAACTAATTCTGCTGAAAGGGACTTTCTGGGTAGTTCAGAAAGTCTGAGCAAAGCAGGTTTTTTGGCAAGAGGCAAATAGCAGAAAAGAAAATCCCCTGAATTCCCAAATATCCTTCAGTTTCCCACATTTTCAACAGCCCCCTGCTAAGGGCATAACAGAGGAAGGCCACATATCAGATCTTGCAAGAGCATCAGGCCAAAAAAGTCAACAGGGGGATGTGTAGAGAGGAGACAGACTGAGGACCCGGGGCTCAAAGAGGGCTCATGATTATTCCTGAACATGAAATACCCTTAACGGTCTTCAGGCGGAGATGCTACCAAGAGGCTGTCAAAATCCCAGCTTTTTGAGGAATGGCATATGTAACAGTTCCCCTCTGGGACGTGGGGGAACTATCCTTTTGTCTATTTTGTTTGGCCTCCAGCTTCATGCGCAGTACTCTCAATACCATTTTGGAAAAACTACAATGATTAAGAGTCCATTAAATCAGAGGTCTGGGGTTGCATGTAGCAATCACCCAGTGGGTTTTTTAAATCACGGTGAACAGATGCACCCACACCTGGTAAATCAAAATCTCTGGAGTGGGGCCCACCAGTAGGAATTCTTGGAGCTCCCCAGGGGGTTACGAGTGCAGACCAGCTTGACCAACAGTGCTTTATATGACTACATATTCTCCCTCTCCCTAGGCTACCACCGCCACACCCGCGCCCTCACTGCTAACACTGGTGTGCCAGACTCCATAAACTTCCAATGGGCTAGGGGATGTGTCCCCAGTGAGATCTCACCCATGGTTCAACTCAGAGCTCATAGGAACAGACACAGGAGGAACATTCATACCTCTCCAGGTGGAGATAAGAGGCTTTGGAGGGCCTGGATGTTGGAATAGAGCTACAGGCTCTGTTTCCATCTCCCAACCTCCTATGACCCATCCGGCATGTGTGGCCCTGG